TTATAATGACTTTTTAAATGTCTTGTACATCATCACCTTGGCTCCTTTGGAACATTTGAAAGCAGAGTCACAACTTTCTTAAAAACTTTACTACGTGGTTTATGATATGTTTTATTAGGAAAAGATATGTTTCTATAAAACATCCTCTTTCCTGCTGTGTATGAGGAAAGATAATTTGAAGGTTGGTAGAGACATGCTGATATTTTATGGGTGACAACACTGTTGGTTATGCTGATTATGGCTATACTCCTTCTAGAAGAGGAGCTGATTTCCTCTGCAGGTACAAGCTTGAATAATCTCATCCCAGACACAGGCCAGTATTTGTGTAATTCTTCATTTTTCCATTAGGAATCATACATACATCATGTGCCCCCAATTAATATCTGTAACACTGGTGACCGAATGATTTACTTTTACACCGGTGCTGGGTGCTTAGTTTGATATAAAAACACAAATGAAGTTCTGCTGTTTGCATTTTTCAAATCGATCTCCTGACATCTCTCTCTTTTTCCTGTTCTTGGCAGGTATAAGGGATATTTTAGAGATATAGAATTTTAGAGAATTATTTTCATAAGTCATCTTATATTTGTCCTTGTAACTGAATTTTCTAGAATGATATTTGATTAAGGAAATGAAGCATAAATTTTGTTTTTTCCACTTGTGTAGTTTCTAGGAAATTAACAAAGGAACCTCTATTTAAAGAACCACTGATTCATTGCTTTTACTATTGCCAAAATTGTGACTTAGATTTTTAATTTCTTCATGGTCTCTGTATCTATTAACTTTACTGGATCCTTTCTTACAGGTACTTTTTGTTTGTTTATATTGTTTTGTTTTTATTTTTGCTGTTTCTTTTTTTTTTTTTTTTGCTCCAGCCTAGAATAGTGACCATTTTTTTTAAATGTTAATCAGCCCTTTATAGGTGTGGACTTCTGCATCCTAGGGTTCAACAAGTTACAGGTAAAAAATATTTGAAAAAAATAATTTGTGTGTATTGAACAGACTTTTTTCTTGTCCTCTTTCCCTGAACAATACAGTATAGCGATTATTTATATAGGATTTACATTGTATTAGATATAACAGGTACTTTAGAGGGGATTTAGAAGGGGATGTGCTTAGATTAGAGAAGGACAGTGTCTCCTGCATCCTCACATGTAAATGTGATGCAAATATGATGTCATTTGTTATAAGGAACATGAGCATCTGGGGACTATGATTATCTGTTGGGGGGCAGGGGCAGCAAGGGTCCTGGAACCAATCTCCATAGGTGCTGAGGGAGAGCTATAATTTTGTCTAGCCAACAATTTCTGTCACTTACTTATTCTTTTTATTTTTACATGTGTTTTAATTTTCAACTCTTTTATTTTACATAATAAGTACTTTTTGAGGCTCTAA